AAGAACCGCAGTCGTCCCAGTAAAGATCTATGGCAATACCTATTGACCTTAAGATAAGCAGGGGCCTCATTTCCACCTAGGACACATACTGTTATATAAAATACAAAGATAAGTTGGAGCCCTGTTCAGCTTGGTTATTTGACCTGCTAAGGATGCCACACTGAGGATAGATTGTAGAGTACTCGAAGCAAAGAGTATTTGCTCGCTATTCATCTTTGAGGGCATCAGAATGTCCAGCAATTTCCTAAATACAGAATATGGTGACTATTTACTATAATTGGTTAATAAAGATGAAACGGGCATTGTAACAGTGTGCGGCAGTGAGCACAGACCTGGAACAAGGGAGTCCAGCTAGCTGGGTTTTCATCATGAGCTTGTCATTAGCTTACTTGAATGATTGCTTTATGTCTCATATATTGTTGGTATAACTAGGAAGGATGCCGGATGCCCTGTGAAGACAATCAACATGGTTTTCTACTCAAATGCCCCGTTTGCAGTATGAGTTTGCTAATCTCCCACCAGAGTACAGATGGAGTTCACGTCCCATTCCTCGGCGTCTGGGCAGGTCTCATGATTGGCTTTAATGCATTGGAGATGACACTGGTGACTTCTGAAACGGGTCTGAAATGGCCTTGCTGTTTCCTCCTCCTGGAACGCCACACTAACTCTGCTGCATAAGGAAGCTGACCCAATCCACTGGAAGGCCAAAGAGCATATGGAAAGCAAGGGCCCCCAACCAAGAGCCAGCATCAGCTTCTGAAGCAGTGAGCGAGGCCATCCTGGGTCTTTCCATTCCTCTTGCCCCTCCAGTTGAAAGCAGTGACATGACCAAGTCCAAGGAAAGCAAACGAGAGACTGTTGAGCCAACCCACAGAATTTTGAGAAATAACATTATTTTTAAGCAAAGGCTAACCGAGCCAGGAAAGCAGACAAGATTACTTCTAAGATGCTGTCTACTCATGATTCCAAAACCTCTGTGTAATGCTATTGTAAAATATTTTACTCTAATGATAGAAAAATAGATCAATATCCAGAGAAGCATCTACCATGGATTTTTGCAAAAGAAGAAACTGACATACAGAGGAGAAACAAGTCACTCAAGTTTGCCATAAGATGTTATGTTGTGGAGCAGAGGATGTGGTTCATTAAGAGGACTGCGTTGTATAACATTCACAAAGTCATGGGTTCAATTCTCAGCACTATATATAACTGAGTATGGTGGTATGATGCTGCATATTTATAATCCCTGCACTCAGAGGTGGAATCAGGAAAATTGAGAGTTCAAGGTCATCCTCGGCTATATGACTAGTTTAAGTTCAATCTGGAAGATATAAGACCTTGCTTCCAACAAATTAAACTTAAAATGCTAAATTATATAGCATAGAATCTTGCAGGGAGGAATGTAAAACTTGGTCCATGATCCATAACTTCTTAACATGTCCTATATGCCCTTAAAAGATGGGGTCAGGCTGTTTCCATGAATAGAGAGGCACTTCTTTGTGGAATTAGCCAGGTCTCCATAGACAAACGCCCCCCAAAACGGTCCATTCCAGTGGACTACCCTTCCTATGGCATGACACTGACTCTTTACGATTGTGTGGGGCCACGCACAAATGTGCAGACTTCAGCTGAAACCAAGAGACACTGAGACAGTCTGCCACACTTCAAATATTTATTTTGTATTCTAACAATCAATTTCTCATCTCTCCTCCACGTCGTTTTCCACCTGTTTTCAGAAATAATTACTAGTGCCTAATAAGGAGCTCTCTGTCACTTTTCTCTCCGCATTTCTGAAACCACTCAGGAAAATTCTTATCCTGGAGTATAAGCCATTGCTAACATATCATGGAGTCTGGCATTGATTTAGAGCCAAACTGGGAACTTCTGGGTTGGTCTTGGATTGAGCTGAGGGGAGTTAAATGTTTGGGTCAGGAGTGGAGTTGGGTTCCAACAAAATGGCAAAAGTAAACTTCAAAATGAGTGTCAGAAGAAGGAATTAGAAGAGACAATTAAATAATTACCTGGATGGAAATCCAGGGTCTGGTGCCATCGACAGAGCACGCAACACCCATTTTAGACACATTCTAAAGACAATTTCAATAAGGCATCTGAGAAGGTGAATCAAATAAATCCCAAACCTTCAGAACAGAGTGGCCGCTATGCAGCTTCTTACAAGTGGACTATTAAGTCAGCTTTAAAGGGGGAAGAAAAAAAAAACCTAGCAGTTTCTCCTGTCATCGCCCAGTGAGAAAGAGGAGGAAAAGCATCAGTTAGCCAAAGGAATGACATTCAGATGTTGAAAGGGTGAAACCTGAGCAACACTTCGAAACCTTTGCTCAAAAACAAGAAGCTAGTGCTGAAAGTGAGGACACAAAGGCAAGCGCTCTCCAAGGCTTAGCACACAGGCTGTGCCCGCACTCTCTGATGGGCACGGACAATTTGCCTAAGAAAACACAGCGTCTGTACTCCCTGTAGCACCTTCTCACCTCCATTTCTAACTATAAGTGACAAGGGCGAAGTTGAAAGGGGGATGAAGGCAGGAACCTTCTCGCACACCTGCTTGCCTGGCATTGCTGGAACCAATGGCCATCTAAGCCTCTCATTTCATTCCAACATGTCTCAAACGACACAAGCTGGCTTCACTTCCAGAACTGCAGAAGATTCCCTAGCACCAGGGTCTAACACACATCAAAGACAGTGTAAGTGCTGAGAACAAAAGTCGGCCTCCACCATGGATCCAAGACCTAATATTGATGACTAAAAGTGTTTGGTTTGGAATAGGTTGTGTGACTGTAGAGAGGCCCTGTTAATGCTCTAACAACTCCTTTAAAAAAAATAAGTATCACTTAACCTCTGGAAACTCAGTCTCCCGACCCTGAATCAAGATGGTTCCACTGTGTGATGCCTCCAATGCCTCCTACAGATCTGTTGAAAAAAAAAAAAAAAAGGATGAGCATCCCTTCCGACCTCAGTCTCCATGTTATTATAAGTCAGTCCTGGGATCCTAAACTACCTACTCCCAACCGCTGTATTCCTCAACCAAACAACAGTAGAGCTGTATGGTATAAAGCACATGTCACCGACATTTCAACCCTGTATTCCTGAGAAAAGAGGGTGGTGGACTCCTTTAGTAAACTCTGGTTCAGTAGAAATGTTATTTAGATGCTGTGTCGTTTCTTCTGTTTCGTTTCATCTTGTTAAATTAAAAAAAATTAAATTCTTCCAAGAGGGGTTGGCTTTTGAACTTTCATAGTACCATTCATTTTACTATTTTTAGTGTCTAAGTTTTCTAACATTAAGTTTTATTTCCTCCATGAAAACAAAAGCACTTTAAAATTTGGCATTTATGCCAGGCGGTGGTGCCACAGTCCTTTAACCCCAGCGCTCAGGAGGCAGAGGCAGGCAGATCTCTGAGAGTCAGAGGCCAGTCTGGTCTACAGAGTGAGTTCCAGAACATCCAGGAATACACAAAAAATCCCTGTCTCAAAAACTGCACAAAAGCCGGGCAGTGGTGGCGCACGCTTTTAGTTCCAGCACTTGGGAGGCAGAGGCTAGCGGATCTCTGTCAGTTTGAGACCAGCTTGGTCTACAAGAGCTAGTTTCAGGACAGGCTCCAAAAGTTACAGAGAAACCCTATCTCCAAAAAATAAAAATACAAAAATATGCATTTATTTATTGTTTGTTTGTTTGTTTGTTTGTGTCAGCACACACATGTGGAGATCAGAGAACAACTTGTAAGCCTTGGTTCCCCTATTCCACACATGGGTTCTGTAGATTGAGCCCAGGTCTTCAGATTAAGAAACAAGCAAGCATTTTTTGACCTGATGATCCACCTTACTATCTCCCTTAAGTAACACATTTTAACATTGGCTTAGGATTCAGGCAAATCTATACAACATTTGCTCCCCCATTCAAGCTAAGAGCATTTCTTCCAGGAACAGGAAAGATGACAAGATAGTGTGCCCTCCTGAGAACATTTCCTCCCACGCTAGGAAGGAGAGAAGACACACACGAGATAAAACTGGGATACAGGTGATTCATACAGGAGGCTTAAAATAAATAAATTGTGGATATGGGAGACACCAGGGCTCCGGAACCTCGGTGTGGCAGCATCGCCTTTGCTCACATTCACTAATTTTACAACATGAGCTAAGAGTTACATACCCGCCAGGCTACTGCACAGGGTATGGGGCCAAAGTGGTGACTAAGATGCACTCAGGGCCCCCATCAAAGTAGGCTCACAGAAGAAACTAATCATCAAAGGGCAATTAAATATAAGTCAATTGGATTTCATAGTGTTCTTTCCTATGTCTCTCCATACATTCAACTTGTGTGCAGAAATATGTGTCTGTGCACATGCAAGTGTGTGTGTGTGTGTGTGTGTGTGTGTGTGTGTGTGTGTGTGTGTAAGGGGGGGAGACAGAGACAGATGGAGAGGGAGACAGACAGACATAGACAGAGACCTTAACCATACCCCCACATTACAACCTCTAAAAATGTGGCAGCGTGGATTTCATAGGAAACTGAATCCGGGTGTAATCTGCTCCAAGTTGCATAGCGACTAGAGGCTGGAGACTGGCACCCTCTTTTGTAAGGGGGTTCACCTCTGAAGCTCCGGTTTTAAGTCTGCTAGCCTATTTTAGCAGATATGAGTCTTCTCTTGTGAATGAACAAGAACAAATACTCAAGCTTGCTAGATGCAGGAAAGGGCTGTGTAGCTTGTTCATCCACCAGCCGCTCACCTACCTGACATTTCTGATGCCATCTGGCTGCCAGGGCTGTGACCTGGCTAGAACGCCCTGTAAAGGGCTCTACTTGTCATAGATGTTTATGTTCTCACATCAGCAGCTTTTGCTGCCTCCCTGGGTGAAGAGGAAGCTGTCAGTCACCGTAGTGTGGGAAACTAATGTGATTCGTTTATAGGGTGGGCGGGATGCTAGATGTTGTGAACCAAAGCCTACAGAATTAATTCCATCACATTCTTCAAGCTTCAACTGCGGTTCTGGGTGATGAAAGGTTGAAATTCTCCCTGCTGTGAACTCAAATGTAGAGCACCACCCACCTCAGAGAAGGCCACCATGCAGGAGGTGGCTTTGGATTCCTTGTATGAGCCGGCTTGAGTTAAGACAGAAGGTAAGAATAAGGGTTCTTTGTGGTCACTGTATCCCAAATTTTCTGAAGCTAATCTTGTAGTGGAAGGTTCTAGAAAATGTGTGTCCAAGTCACGTCCTGAGATAGGACCACTGTCAGGAAGTTTGAGAACTGGTCATGTGGATTTGTGCTGGATAACAAATCTTTTCTAGTATTTGTTCTTAACAGCAGGATGGTTGACAATGATCTAGCAAGACTCATTGGATGAATACCAAAGTCAAAGCTGGTGCCCACTAATTTAGTTGCCCATAGTCAAGTGTATACAGCCTCTGAGCCACTTCTTTATATGTGTGCCACCCAGAGATTTAAAAATCTGTCCATGTCCCCATTGTAGAGTTGAGAGAACTGAGGGACAAGGAAGTAACAAGTCAAGTATCAAACACAAAAACCCCAAATAACAGGAGTGTACCCTGGAGCCTCTGGACCCCAGGACCTGAGCTTAGCACTCTGCTTTCAGAGTTGATCTACAGTGGTGACCTCATACTCTTCTTGAAGCCATAAATTTGTCTCGTTTCTGATTTTCTTGGAAATTTCTCTGCCAAGAGAAATTGTTAGATGTTGGTAATACATGAATTGTCTAAAATTGTCTTTAAAAGACTCTTCTGATTAATTTCAACAAAAATCTCCTATTTTTAAAGGATATGTTTTATGATCTAAATGTTTTCATAAACACTTCAAATTTTCAAAGAAAAAAATCCAAAGGATAAGCCTTTACCTGAAGCTGTTACCGTTTCTCCACTCACCTCCAATTTGTCTCCAATTCATGGACAGGAAACAAGTGCCCAAGGAGAATCTCAATATAATCCCTTGAGAATATTGGGGACAACTGATAGCTTTGGAAAAGAAAAGGTCAGGTTGACTACTGAAAACCCACCAAGTTAAAAAGATCATAATAGTAGGGATATCAGAGGGTTAGGGAAGATGAATATTGAGACAAAAATTTGGGATCCTAGGTCTACCCTAGTTTGGGCATCAACAGTGAAAACCCTTGAGAGTGGCTCCATGAAGAATTAGAGTCAGCAAGATGCGCCCTCTCTGGGGAGAGGACAGATTGAATAGCAACTGGTATGTCAAAGAGTGTTTAAACTCTCCAACCCAAATGAATTTACTTCAGTTTTCTCTTTGGATAATAGTCTGTAAATAACATTTTTGACAAATTAAAATTAAGCAAATGTTTTTTTTTTCCATTTCCTCTCACTTAAAAGCTAGAAGAATTCCAGAAAGCATCCCAGCCAAACTAGAAATCAATTTTAGAGACTTAATGATGTCCAGAGTTCTGTTGACATAAAAAGTGGGAAAGACGGTAAGTAGTTAAGAAGTTTGGGATGTTCTTCAAAGTCATGTGATAGTTTATTCATTTATCCCCAAATATTTTCTGAATGACTTCCTTATGTCATCAATAACTGTGTGTTTCAATGTTTGTCATCGCTGTATGTTTCACCATGGAAAAGTATAAAAAAGGAGTCAAAGATGGCCTCCGTAAAAAGAGACTATACTTGGTTTCCCAGCCACCCAGACCCAAATAATCACACAGAAACTATATTAATTGCAACACTGTTTAGTCAATGGCTCAAGAATATTCCTATATCTTAATGGCTCTTATATCTTAAATTAACCCATTTCTATTCATCTATGTATCACCACAAGGCTATGGCCTACTGACAAAGTTCCAGCATCTTTTTCCCTTTGGCAGCTACATGGCATCTCTCTGACTCCTTCTTTTCCCCTGCATTCAGTTTAGTTTTCCTGCCTAGCTCTATTCTGCCCTGCCACAGGCTACAGCAACTTCTCTATTAACCAATGATAATAGAGCATATTCACAGCATACAGAGGTGAGTCCTACACAAGCCTCTGGAAGGGTAGGTTGAGATTCCTATAGAAGATTCTTATAGAAGACCAAAGAATAAAGGGGCTAACAGTGCTCTAAAGGGAGATGGCATTTCTGTGGATACCTCCAGATCTTATCTTTGATGAGTAGAGAAAAATAAAGACCAGTCCTGATGGAGCATCTGGACTGAGGGACAGTGTAGAAATAGATCAATATACTGAGTTAGTATCTCTAAAATGGATCAGCACAGCAGTTTCCCAAGTCACACTGAGTCCCCTTTCACTATTCCAGATGTTGCTGGTTAATGGCTTTCAAACTTGTACATTAGGGTCACCTGGTGAACAGGGGTGGGGGCAAGCATGCATGCTTCAATAAGCCTGGTTTGCAAGGCCACCCATTCCACAAGGTGGGAGGAGTATCTGCCTCACTTACATGACTATACAATCCAACAGGTGAAAGAGGGAGGCAGATCTCCCATGTCAGGAACTGAGCAATGCAATGGTACACAATGCTCCAGACACTTAGTTTTATTCTTGTGACCCACTACTCAGTGACATCAGCAAGTGCCTAATTTCCCAAGGTTGAGTTTCCTCTTAGTAAATATGGGATTGCTACAGCAACTACACACAAAGATCGTTGAGGTAGATTTTAGCTTCCTTTTAGACACAGTCACAGACTTCATTGAGAATATCATAATAGCTTTGAATGTTCTTGTCTAAAGCCTTTATCTACCCATAAATAAATTTGAATTCCCTTTTAGTAGCCATTAGACTCCATGAAAATTGACCATGGGTAAAGGTTAGGAATTCTTCTCTTCAAAATGATCTGACATGTTCACATCTCCCAAGATGCATAAGGGAGGGTAGGGCTTGAAACTTATTCAAACCCTTCTCAATCTGTCCAGCTCTCTTCAGATTTCCTTTGGAAGTTACTTTACGTCAAGAGGGGTGCAAAACCAGTTAGGAGCTCAGGGTTTTAAACAGACGTAATATATACATAAATAGAGCAAGGTGAAAGTGGAGACCAATGCATCAAGAGGAGAATGAGAACCAGATGCCTCACTCAGGGAGGAGGAGGAGAGGGAGAGGCAGATGCTGAGGGGCTTTCTCTGTGGGCTTCCCTCTAATCAAGCCTCTCAGAAGTGGAGGAAGGAGGAACACAGGAGAGTGGCCTGGGGAAAGATGGGGATTGGGAAGGTAGAGGTGAGGGAGTATTGAAGTCAGAAAAAGAAGGAAAACAGCCTCCTCAGAAGCCTTCTGAGGAGGCCTCGGGGAACAAGCCAGAGCATGTCTGTCAATAGGTATCACTGACCTCCTTGCTGAAGATCAGGCACTGAGTATCAGCTAAGTAGGAAAGCACTTCCCAGAGGAGTCATTTTATGAATTCCTGCTATGTGTCCAGAGACGTAGAACACTCATTCAAAAAACTTTATTTTACTAACTTCCCAGTGGTGATAATCAGCAAAGCAAGCATTGGTCCTCCAGAGTCATGCACTTCACTGGATCTTAGGCTGGGCTCCATGCCTCTGGATCCTCAACCCCCTCATGTTCTTGCTGCCCCACCCAAGACTATCTCTTTGGCATAGTGTTTGTAGTTGGGCAACCCTTTCCCATTCTCAAGACAGACTCTGTGATGCTCATCTAACCACGTCCCCAGAAATCTCCTCAAAATCTCCCTACCTACTCCTGGATACAAAATATTTTTCCATGCTCTGAACAGGTATCACATCAGTATACACCATAAATCAGATATTCTTATTAATATAACACAAGAGAGGGAAATGTTACTCATTTCAGATGAATTTTGTCAAATAAAAAATCATAGGAAGTCCCTTTGGCTCTGTTACACATCTTTGGGTATTGTACATTTGAGAATGGAACTTGAGACTGAGTTTCCGTACATCAGCATTCGCAAAGGTGCGAGCCACAGACATCAGCATAGTATCAGCCCTGTTCACTAATCAAAATTTGAAGTATATCCAGTTGCTAAGAAATGGGACTTGGTTTTTATTTTAAAGCCTTATCCCTTGGTGTTCACAGACAAGCAGAAGATGCACTTGCACTTAAACTAGGATGCCAAAAATGGGAAGGAGAGATTACAATAAGCCTAGACGGCAAGGGGTCCAAATGTCCAGTGACTTCATATAAGCCTCAACTGTCTTCCCTGAAGATAAGTGGCGAAGATCTAGAACGACTACACACTACACAAAGATCACTTAGCTCCATGCTAAATATTCAGTTCATGTCATGTTAGCACTCCAGTCTTCTCAAAGCAATATATATGGCCAGAATTTTATCATTAGTGTTTTGAAACCATAAATGAAATGAAATAGATACAAAAGGCGTGTGATCATAGTTCCTTAACCTTACCCCACAGTAATATTCATAAATCCATGAGGAATTCAATTTCTAGTATCTCTTTATTGTCAACTAAATACCATCAAAATAAGAGATTTGGAGTCATTGAAGTGTAAGGTTCTTTACCAGAGAGTCCACTTAGAGTTCATCTGGGATGGTGGGAGATCCTAGAACACCTGAGGCTTCTTTCAAGACAAAGTTTCAATCTACCCCTTCAGCCCTTTCATGGAAGAACTGGGTATACATCACAGGATCTCAGAAGTGAGGCTTGGGGATTAAATATCAACAGATGAAGAGCCACTTAATGCAGAATGAATGTCATGTGAAGGATTGGAGGTAGACAGCATCACTGCAAAGTAAGAGAGAAAGAAGAGAGAAAGATGAGGTTATCCCATGTAAAGGTAAAAATAAAACTACAAACCAAATAAAAAGAACCCAATCCCCAAGTTCCAAGCTGGGATTAACTTGGAAGCAGGGGGTACACAATGAAGGTTTCTGAGTCAGGAAATGTAATAGTCTGGAGCAGGTTTTAGAATAACTGTGACCTCCCCAAAGGGAGTGAGATAGGTCTGAGAAGATGCAACTACAAAGAGAAATTTAATGAGAAAATTATATATAAATAGAACAAGAAAGCTGTTAGGAGGATAGATTGGTTTAAAAATGTACATCAAGTAATTAAAGGGGATGTTGACACCTCCAGTGTGTGTATGTATGTGTGTGTGTGTGTGTGTGTGTGTGTGTGTGTGTGTGTATCTGTGTGTCTGGGCATATGTGTTTTCTGTGTTTATGTGCATTGGCAAATAGAAAGACAGAGATATAGGGAGACAGAAATAAAGATCAAATAATATTTGTGGTATCATCACTAAACTAAAACTATCTGGGATCAAAAGAGAGCAGAGAAGAGTAGAACTAAAGTGGGATTGAGATTGGACCCTTTGGTGACCCTGTTGATGCCTCAGGAAGGAACGACATTGGCTCTAGACATATGAAGTCAGTATCATTGGCTAGATTGACATTGACATCACAGACATAAGATACTGATGTCGATGGCATCAGTATCGAGGCAGGAGTATGGAAATGGCACCAAGAGGAGAATGATGGAAGTCAGAGATAGAGAAGGTGGTCTGGGGGAGCAGAATAGGAACCCATGAAGAATGAAGAGCAACACTGCTTCTCAGTTATATAATTACTCCTTCTTCCCTTATGGACAATGGACACTTATCTCACTTTGTTTTTTTTTAATTGAAAATAATTTTTCAGCTAATATATTCTTTTTTAATATTTATTTATTTATTATGTATACAATATTCTGTCTGTGTTTATGCCTGCAGGCCAGAAGAAGAGACCCCATTACAGATGGTTGTGAGCCACCATATGGTTGCTGGGAACTAAACTCAGGACCTTTGGAAGAGCAGGCAATGCTCTTAACCTCTGAACCATCTCTCCAGCCCCCAGATAATATATTCTGATCACAGTTTCCCCTCCCCAAAGACCTACCAGATCCTCCCCACCTCTCCACCAACACAGATCCACAGAAGCGCTTCCTTGATACCTTGATACTTTCCTGAAGGTGCAAGGACCATCATGATCTTCCTCTAACAATATAGCAAGACTGCAAGGAGTTAAGGCCCACCAGAAATCCAATACTTCACAGACAGTCCTCGGAGGGGAAGAAAAATCATAGCTGCCTTTCTCAAGAGGCTAGTGGCACAAACCTCACAAAGATGGTGACAAGTTGTCATGGTCTGGCGAAGACTAGAGGTTTTCCCACAACCCAGAAAACTGGTAATTACTGTGGGACAATGGTCTTGTACCCTGGAAAGATTTGTCACTTGTGTTGGTTTAATAAAATGCTGATTGGCCAGTAACCAGGCAGGAAGTATAAGAGAGGCAACCAGAGTAAAATTCTGAGAAGAGGAAAGCCTCAGTCTGCAGTCGTCACCCAGATGCAGAGGAAGCAAGATGAGAATGCCTCAGTGATAAAAGGTACCAAACCACATGGTTAACACAAACAAGAATTATGGGTTAATGTAAGATATAAGAGTTAATTAATAAGATGTCTGAGCTAATAGGTCAACCAGTTTATAATTAATGTAGGCCTCTGTGTGTTTGTT